GGTGATTCCATTTTTTAAAAATTTTCTTGTATACATATTTGTTTTACAAAAATTTAATATTTACATTATTGAAAAGAACCGACTAAATCACTCATGATTAAGCTATTCGAGTTTAACATGTAATCATGGACACAACATCCAAAAGAAAAAGTAATCTTTATATTAATGGAATCCTCTAAATCGCGCATTCCACCGTTTATTGGCTGACCTTTATGTCAATTATACTGATCGTACAGTACTTTACAGTTACAGTTTAACTTTAACGCATCACTTATGTATAATGTAACTAATGTAAACTTTGTATCAGATCGTCCTCGCGAGAAACTAAATTGTTTTGTAGTTTCGTGACAATGTTGACTCCGACTCTGTTACATAGATTCGTGACCCAATTGTTAGCCCAGAGTGTTAATTAATACAATCATAAAAATCATTGGTATGTCGATCTTGTGCGAAAAAAAAGTAACGTTTTTATTTGTCACTTAAAATTAAGTATTTAATATCTGTCCGATTAAAATAACCCATTGCAGAATTTTTCATAAAATCCTGGTCGCTATGGACACGCGATTGACCTGAGTGCTTCCATATCGATCAGCGCTTGAATATGATGATGATTAAAGCCGGTGTATCTCATTTTTATTCTAACGCTATGTTGAGTTTTAACGCAATTGCTGCGGTACTTTACGTCTCGAGCGATTACGCAATTCGTTTTATGTATGTTTCGATTAAAGATTACAATCATATCTTGCGACAGCTCCCTCTTAAGCTACTGCTTCCCTTTGAAACTGGGTAAATCGCCAATTTTTGAATTGCTGATGATAATTCTATTTCTACATGTCTTATTGATTGCGTTTACGGTCACTGTTATAAACGGATTAATTTTCGTTTTTGGTAAGTTTCGCATTTTAAATTTGCTTTTATATCTTATTAAATTTCAGAGGAATTTGTGATGCGAGATTGGACTTAATATAACAATTTTATCTTAACTTATTTGCATAAATCTTTTTATGCACAAAACTCTGCATCACTATATTTACTTTATTTAGAGATATGAATTTTAATATCATTTTTGGAAAATAGCTTACATAATCAAATTGTATGTTACATGAAAAACAAATAATTGGCAAATCACTTTATCAGGCATATTTTTTGCAGTGAAATTAATTTTTGTGCATAATACTTGGAATCTTTGCATTAATTTAAATATATTTTAGGTGATGTAAGCGGGCTTCATGTAAGCGGGCAAATTGATATAATATGTTACGAGTTCAGAAATATTTCTGATGTGAGAATATTCTCTCTTATCAATTTTCCGCATTTACGTTAGGAATGCTAATTGAAAAGCATAATAAAGTCTATGCATTTTCCGAGAACATTGAGAAACTTTTCTCCTTTATCGCGTTGATGCAAGCTGTTTGAAATACTCTAGTCATTTGCTGCCTAGGATTTATTATCATAATTGTAAGTATTATTATGTAAATGCATCATTATGATCAATATTGTAAGTCATACATTTTTTTATTGTGTATTGAAACAGTCCGTTCATAATAAAACTGATGTCGTCGTATTTGTGAAAGCGGCTTTGGCTTATTTTGCTGTAATGATAGAAACCTTTATTATTTGTTTCGCTGGAGAATATTCTAGTCTGAAAGTTAGTAAATATCAAGCAATTAAAATATTAGAAATTTAATAAATGCATACTATATTGTATAATAAATAATGTGTTTTTAATTTTTTTCTATTAATTTTATATGGTAGGATTAAAATATGATAGAAAAAAAGTTCTTTTTTTAAATAAAAAAATTGTTTAAATCGGGAAGAAATATATTGTTCTGCCACTTTTAATTAATTTCCATTATTTTTAGAGTAAATCGATCGCTGATGCAGCATACGAATCATTGTGGTACGATATGCCGCCAAATCACGGTAGAATTATATCATTCATGATAAGGAATCATTAATTATATCATTCAGGATAAGGATCATTCATGATGAGATCAGGAAATTAACGATCAGCAGGGAAAATGATGGATATGTCACAATTTGAAGTTTTAAAATGTAATTTTTCGCAACCTTCTTGATAAATAGTTATTAAATAAAACTTTTGCTTCCAATTAATTTTAACATCCGTTACGATGTATATTCTTTATGCATAAACATATCTATAAACTAAATTTAATTTCCATTTATTTAGATCATGAAGACATCGGCATCATTCGTATCTGTTTTATATGCGATGTATTGAAATTAGAAGCCATAGACATATTATATCTATGATAAAATGCAATAGTAATTTAAAATCATTGTTAAATTAACATAAAGAGATTTAGAGAATATTAATTATATAAAAAAATAATTAAACTGTTGTTAATAAATTATTAATTATTATTTACATTTTTATATTAATTTGTTGAATATTCATATTTACTTTACAGAAAATAATTGTAGCACTTTGCAACACTGACTCTGCTATTTTAAATCTGCTGCTTTGCTTTTTTATTAAACAATTTACGTTTATATTTTATTACATATTATTATAACAAGACTTTTATAACATGTTTGATTAATTTAATTCTTTTTTCTATCTTTGAATTATGTAGTTCATATTCCACTATTATTATAATCATTTTAGTAATCATTTTGATGTAATTACAGGACATGAGTAATAAGCGCCATTTCGAATTATTGTCATACTATGCAGCACATAACTGGGATTGATTGATTGATACTCGAGTGAGGATATAGCATATCGATTGTTTGAGGATCGCTAGGTAATTTCAGTGTATTATGCAGATTAACTCCAATGAATGTGCAATACTGATCTTCATCTTCTTATGCATCATAAGTTACTAATATAATTTTGAGTTATCTACTCGAAATTCCAGTTACGAAATGAGCTTGAATATATAAGTTCACTAATAAGTAATATGAACTACATGATTCGAAAATAGAAAAAAGAATTAAATCAATAAAACATGTCATAAAAGTCTTGATATAACAATATGTAATAAGTTTTATACTATTTGACAATAAGTCTATAAATATTTAAGAGTGCGATCAGATATATATCATAAAACATTTGTTCCATTTAAGTCATAAATAATGGCGTGTTTTACAAAATTTTGATGGCAAAGGAAGATGATTGGCACAAGGACAGAAATGTCTGTTGTCATTTATGCGTGATAATCACCAAAACTAATATTTCACATTTTTGCTTTCATGCCATGTTGAGCATCAATGTGTCATTCACAATACCAGATATGCTATACGTTTCCCCATTTGAAAAAATGAAATAACAGATCATGACAACTTTTCATTAAGCTAGAAATTTTCTTTAAAGTTGATATTTTATATGTTTAAAATAAAAATGTAACAATAATGATTAAAAAGTAGTATAGTTTAATTAATTATTTGTAGTTTAATTAATTTAAAAGTACTATTTTTAGAAAGTTTATTATTAAAATTATCTATTAAATTTATTTAATAATAAATAAATTTAAAATAAGTAAGTAATTTATAATACTTATTTATAATAAATAGTAATAAATAAATTTTATTACTTTATTTATTTATTACTTTATTTATTACTTTATTTATTACTTGTTATTAAAATGTTATGTTACAAAAAGTCATTTATTATATTTGTCAATATGTAAAATCATTGTATTTAACTATTACTGTTATTTCTGAAATTTCCAAATTACATTATTTTTAAAACCGCTTTTAACCGCTTTTTACAAAAACAATTGACTTGTGGAGGAACCTTGTCTCGCGCATTTTTATCATTAAGTTTAATTCTTGTCAGACTGCGCAACATGTTTCTTCCCTCTAATTTTCCTTCGAAGTTTTCTTAGATTTTTTTGTCGATTTCAATTGTTTCTTTTCAATGCTATTATAGGTAATACGATCATTATAGACATAAACGTGCATATGCTCAAAGAAGAATTTGCATTTTTAAAGGAAATCGTATGCTACCCCACGCAATATAATAGCGGAGGGAAGCCTGTTGATCATTTGTTGCCCTCGAAATTACGATCTTCAACGAACAATGCTCATGCAACGTATAATTACGATTGATCGACGACTGTTTTCCACTTTTGTCGTCCCCTCTGTGAACGGTCAGTTTTGCTATCGCCATCACGCGACGCGCATTAAATCAATCGAGTTTCGCGCATAATACATATCGTTCATATTAGTAGCGAACGATTTAGGGAAGTAAATCGTGAAAGTTATTACAATCACGCTGGATGACGGTAACACGCATGACAACCGTAAGCTCCTCGGTTGAGATGGGGCTTCGATTTATCGGCATGTGGCCGGGCTCATCCTACGGCAATTTCCAGTGGTTTGTTTATATGACGTCGGTAGCGGTAGTAATGTACTTTCAGTACATGTATATCATCAAAAACTTCGACATGAGCAACTTTTCGGTGCTTATAGACGCTCTGAGCATAACCATTGCATATAGTCTAGCGTTTTTCAAGTTGCTCAGCCTCTGGCTGAATCGCCGGTAAGCATGGCTAATAAGGGATGCTTCGGGGATATATATTTATGTTACTCTTTCTAACAATATCACATCTAACAATGTTGCATGATGTGACAGAACGACATTATTCCATTATCTTTGTATCTCTTATCGCTCATAAAATTAATTATTGCGGATAAAAAATGAAAAAAATATTATTACAAATAGTATATAATATTATGTATATTTTATCACAATTTTTATTATTTTAGAAATAAATTCTTTTCTTTAAAGCACAATGCGAAAGGCATTTATTTTCTGTAAAATATTTATCTTTTTTGTAACATTTTAAAGTCTTTTTTACATTTTAAATTTGACATTTATTCACGTTTTGAAAAGGAAAGGAATTTTTCAATCAAACGTTCCTTTTTAAGCTCATAAATGTTATCGATATTATTTGTCATAGAGCGTGCTAGTATTCCGGATTTTTCATTTATATTTTTTTTCTATGTTATTTATGCTGCATATGTATCTCATATTAGATACTTTTGAATTATCTTTATAGAGTATTTCACGAAATTTTGGTGACAATGAACGAGGATTGGAGAGAGTATATTACCGCCAGCTCACGCATGTATCCGATGATAATTTATGCCAATCTGTCACGTCGGTACTCTAACATTTTAATGTCCATCAACGCTTCAGCCGCTGTCTTCTATGCTCTCGGAGGTCTCGTTCGACGCTCCACAAAGAACGAGGATGATCCTCGTGGGACCAGATTCGATCTTCCTGTCAAAATGGAATTACCTTTTGAAGTTAATGAATCTCCCATCTTTGAGATCACGGCAATAGTTCAGTTTCTCCACGAATTGTCTCTCTCTTCTCTAGTCGCGATGATAAATTCTTTAGTCGTTACATTGGCAAGTTCAATTCGCCCTCTTTCATGACTGTTTAAGATCATTTTCGAAGCTTTTATGTTAGTGAAGACGAATCATTATGATCCAGTATTCGTAGATCCTTCATGTGAGCGGTCAGATTGATATAATACGACAAGGTTTGACGCAAGTCTCTTCGAAAAGCTACCAAAGTTCTTCGTTTCTACCGGAAATTAAAGTTCTTATTTTAAAGCATCAGAGAATTATTTCATTGTCTGACAATATCGAAGACCTCTTCTCCTGGATTGCACTGATGCAGTTTTTGTCTAATACCTTAGTAATTTGTTGTCTAGGATGCATGATTATTATCGTGAGTAAAACTCCTAACAGCTTCAATTTTAAAATAAGTAAAAATTAATTTTTTATTTACTTTATTTATTTATTAACTTTATTATAATGATTTATATATACTTATTTACTTATGTTGTAAAATTTTACTATGAAATTTTACTATGAAATATTTTTTAATATAAACTTTTATTATAAAATTTTATTGTTTAATTATAACTAAGTTTGATATTTTTGCAAAATATTAAGAGCACAAAATTTGTTTTGCTTATGCTTGTTGTATAATTGATTTGTATTTTTCATTCATCGCTCTTACAGACTATCGGTAGCAATCAAGGGGCAATAATATTAACGAAAAGCATCTTATTTTACGTCGCAATTACGCTGGAAGCGTTTGTTTTCTGCTTCGCCGGGGAATATCTTAGCGCGAAGGTTATCACATTTAAACAGAATTTTATCGGAACGATTATTCTTCGGATCTCTTACCGCATGATAAATTGCTGCGTTAATAAGCAATTTCACGAGCACTTAACTTTATAAATTATTGCTATATAAATGATCTACACTGAACAAAATTTTTTTTATTTTTTAAAGGAAAGATATTCCCTCTTACTCGCCATTTGTGTGTAGAAATCAGTTGGTTTGTTTTTCAGAGCAAATCGATCGCAGATGCTGTCTACGAGTCCGTCTGGTATAATATGACGCCTAGCCAATGTCGAACTCTTCTGCTTGTGATTGTGAGGTCGCAAAAAAGATTGACGATCACGGCCGGGAAGGTGATAGATCTTTCTCTAGAGGGATTCACCAGCGTAAGATCCATTCTCATACATACAAAATGTTGCTCATGGATATTAAACGCGTCTCAAGTGAATATCAAAACTGACTATGCAAACAATTTATAATGCAAATAATTATGCAGCTTTCATAACTATACACACGTCCAATATGATACTTACAATGAAAAGTGTCTCCCTATATATATATATAGGTCATGAAAGCTTCTGCTTCGTACATATCGGTGTTGCATGCGATGTATTAAGAAATTAAGGCCCGGATATGGATATGAATGGCAGGCATATTGCTCACTCGATGAAACTGATCGTAGGAAGACGTAGAGAAAATTACGCGCAAAAATTACTCGTTCCCTAAAAATATATAATATATTTATATTATAATAGAAACTATTTAATATTATAATATAAATATATAAGATGATTTATTATAATACATGATGTATTATAATACATTTATATTATAATAATAATCGTGATCATAATCATCAGATAATCCCCAGCGTAACACATATGCGCTTATTCTATGCAATGTAATATTGACGTTAACGCTACTCGATAGTAACAATCACTTGCGAACAATAATAAATTTTATTAAAAAATGTAATTAAATTGTACATTATTTTTATTGCAAATATAATCTCTGCTTAATAAACTTTTATAACACAAATAAGCGCACATTACGTTATATAATATATAACATGCGAAATAAATAATATTTTTTGATCTTTCTAAAGAGCGTGAATGATGATTCTCTATTATTATAGAATAACAAATTTAGAATTAAATTTTTGCACGATCTTCGGTCTCTCACGATTCTTTCTGACGATATTCCCTTCTCTTTGCTTTTGTATTTTTCAGCGTTTGATATTGTGCACATGCGCTCAATATTTACATCTTTTTTATGAAGCGAATAACGTACATCCCCACTTCCCGTAACGTTCAATATAATGTCGCCTCGAATTATGTTCTTTCTTCTTTGTAACTTATAATCATTGAAAATATACGCTTCGATTTTGCCATTATATCAGGCACGGCAGGAACATGCGTAATTGCCATTGATTGATAACGATCGACGAGGGTCGACGCATTGTTGCTTCGCATTGCTTAGTAGGAATTATAGCTTAACATTTAATTTCCGAGTGGTGCCCGCTTACCACGATAATAGTTTTCGCTTTCGACAAGAAAACAACGTCACGCTGGATCATCGATTCCATACGAGATAATGCGCGCTACTTCCATCAGTACTTCCGTCGAGATCGCCCTCCGCTGCGTCGGACTCTGGCCAGATTTGCCTTACGGGACTGTCACTTGGTACACGTACATGACGAGCTTAGTGTTCGCCTTGTACTTTCAGTACGCGTACATTTTCGATCACTTCGAGATCAGCAACATGTCGAATCTCATTGACGCGCTTAGCATCACGTTGTCTTACAGTCTCGGTTTTCTGAAGCTGCTGTCTCTCTGGTCGAATCGCAGGTAGGAATAGTTTTGCTTAATGCGAATGACAATGAGAACGAGAGGTTCTCCCGTAGAAAATACGCAAGCCATTTTGTACAGGATATTTTATGATATCCTGCTAGCGATAAAGAAAGACTGGAGTGACGTTAACATTTGCGACAAATCGGTATCATCGTATATCATGACGAGTAATGCCGAGATGTCGCGCCTTTGCTCGAACATGTTAATCAGCATCAACGCCACGGCCGCGATTTGCTATTCCATGGCCAATCTTCTGCGCTCGACTGACTTTAAGGAGGATCTTAACATTAGTTTGAGAGTGTTACCTGTAAAGATGGAATTTCCTTTCGAAGTCGACGCGTCTCCACTCTTCGAGATGTTAGCGGTCGGTCAGATTCTTCATGTGGTGTCGATTGCCTCTATAGTCGGTATGATAAATTGCCTGGTCATCTCACTGGTAAGTCCTACCCATCATATGACGCATGGCAAAATTTGTTAGTTTAATTCTTTGTTTGCGACATACGCTCCTGTTTGCCAAAAATTAATCGAATTTTTTTACTTTTTAATTAGTTTCGAAATTAGATATTTTTGAATATTTTTGAAAAGAATTTTTGCTAAATTAACAAGTTATTTTTTTAAAAATAAAGTCTATTAATAATCATATATAGGTACTTCACGTAAGCGGACAAATCGATATTCTTTGTCAAGAATTACTGACAATCTGCGGCGACGGAACTTTACAGGACAATTTGATTGTCGCGAGTGTCAGATTTCTGATTATCAAACACCAAAAAATAATAACACTTTCAGAAAATATTGAAGAGCTCTATTCTGACATCGCATTGATGCAAATCCTATCAAATACCGTGGTCATCTGTTGTATTGGTTTCACCATTATAGGTGTAAGTCGCATCGTTAACTGAATGAAATAATTATGTAATTATTTTGTAATTTTGCACTAAACGTATTAAGCTTCCTGCCATCTTCTCGTAGTCTCTTACAAAGGAAGGAGCTACCGTGATGATGTTGAAATCGGCTATTTTTTACGTCGCCATAACGTTGGAAGCTTTTATCTTTTGTTTCGCCGGAGAATATCTTAGCGCCAAGGTTCGCATAATATTTTATCTTATACATGTAATATTCTATTTTATTCTTTGATGTTGATCAATTTTTACATATTTCGCTCTTTCTCAGAATAATTAATACAGCTTGATCAGTTCAATATATAGTACTTTACTTTTGTTGCGTTTTCCTTAAATAAAATTCAAAAATTCTCAGATTGTTCAGACGAATTAAAATTAAGGAACTTAAATAACTTGAATTAAGTAAATTAATAAATTTCAAGTTCGCTGTTCTCCTTTTCAGAGCAAATCGATTGGCGACGCAGCATACGAAGTGCTTTGGTATGACATGACGCCTGCCGAGTGTCGAATTTTATTATTTGTGATATTAAGATCGCAGAAGAGATTGACAATCACAGCCGGAAACGTCATGGATCTTTCTCTAGAGGGATTCACCACCGTAAGATCCATTCTCATACATACAAAATGTTGCTCATGAATATTAAACGCGTCTCAAGTGAATATCAAAATTGACTGTGCAAACAATTTATAATGCAAACAATTATGCAGCATTCATAACTATACACACGTGATACTTACAAGATGATACTTACAATGAAAAGTGTCTCTCCATAGGTCATGAAAGCTTCTGCTTCGTACGTATCGGTGTTGCATGCGATGTATTAAGAAATTAAAGTCCAAATGGATCAATGATAGTCATATTCCCCACTTGATGAAACTAATAGGAAGACGTAGAGAAAATTGCGTGTAAAATTTACTCGTTCCCTAAAAATATATAATATATTTATATTATAATA